TTTTTTGTTTTTAGCTGTAGATACTAAGGCTCCGGTTTGTTGCAAGCTTTTAAAGTATTTTTTGCAGCAGGGTATTTAATCCATGCGAAACACTCTACAATAAACAATTTCATCTAATGCTGAGTCTTTTGTTTTCTTAAACTCTAGCTGACGATCGGCGAAATCGCTTTCTTCAGAGCCTGAATGGATCGTAACGATCTGTGACTATCCGGTGAACGTCTCCACGAACCCACCAAAGTTCAAGGCCCCTAGGGCACGCACGTGATTGAAAAGAAGTCCATTCACCGAGTTTCGTGGGTTCTCCCAAACTACCCGACAACTGATGCGGGTTCATTATTGTTGTTAGCGTCACTTGCAGTCGGTAACTAATCCGTGTGGAACACCTCAAAATTACAACACAGACTTGTTCATGTTGGTAGTTTTTTATCAAGATTCAATACTCATCATTAGTAAATGAGGAAGCGAGCAAGCCCACCAAATTTTATTGGTCATCATGACGAGTTATAATAACTTAGCACAACTTATCACAGTCAAATCACTTTGAATTCACATTAATATATTAAGTATAACTTTGCATTAGTACGCCATTCACTTCAAAGGAGTTCGTATAGGAATGGGCTGTCAATAACAGCTGCTCCCACGGCAACACCTCCCTAAAACTTTCCGTTCAATATACTGGTGAAACGCGTAACATGAGTGCCTTCAGATGAAAAAAAAAGGTAAGAAGGGAATAATCTATAAGGTAGAGTTGAGATGTATCAGTGTACTAACCTCATCTATGTCTTCACCCTTCGTGCGTAAAAGATGGCCACCTTGCCGGACCTCCGCTAGACCTCGATCTCCAAGAGCATAGCCGTACACTCCAAGTTCACTGACAACCTTCGACATTTTCACTGGTTGCATTGCTCGAACGAGATAATTCTGCAAAAGAAAATTCTGGCAAATGAAGAAGATACCTCAGCCTATCACTTCACCTCTTGCACAAGCGGATGAATCCGCTCCATGAGAATATGGGCTCCTCTCTCATCCTGTGACATTGACCGCAGTTTCTCGGCCATTTTTTCACCGTAAAAGTTCCCACCTCCTCCTTCAGTTTGTGGTTTTAGCACGAATTGTTTAGGACGCGCTATTGCACTCCGAAATATGAGAGAATGTATGACCAATTGACGGAAGGAAAAGGGTGTGCTATTGAAGTAGAATCAACGATTCACCTTGACCAACTTTTCTGTAATCGGTGAAGTGTCATTGATAGCCCATATTCCAGCAAAAGTTGCTCGTATTGCTGCCGCCTCACGTGGATGGCCAATGAATCGTTCAACAACACCGTCTTGCGCAAGCACCTTGAGCACAGAGAAGAACGTATTTGCAAACTAATTGACACCCTGATCGATTGATGATCAGTATAACCTGCTGAGTTTTCTTCGTATTTGCGACCTGAAGACCAATCCATGGGGATTTAATTGCATCTGACCTTTCAATCAAAAGACGAGCAGACCACTCTGAAAACAATGCAATCCATCGACATCTACAAAAGGTGTCTGCCGAAAGAACAGTCTCACTGAGAGAACCTTTTTCAGATGGGTAGTTGTCAGGAGAGTATCCGGCTCTGAAGTAAACAACCGCCACCTGCGAGCCCAACAAAAGTAAATGACGCTCAGGCGATAAGGTTAGGCTGAAATGAGAGCATATTAAAACATGCGATCGACATAAAACCATTAGTTTCATCAGCAGCGCGAAGCCTTCAGTCTTCGTTAGCCGGTGCAAAACAGCCGAATAAGTGCCTTTCACTCGAAAACATAACTGTTGCGTAGAGTAGAGGTATATGGCGCGACCTACAACATTCCTACAACACTTGTTTGATCCCATCCCTGTCGCCAGTAGCGTCTCTATTCCTCCCTATTTCGAACCAGAATTGTCCACTTGATCGTCCTCGCTCGAGTGTTAGAGAGAGGGGCGGGCGAAGGCGGGAGGATGGGGCACGAGGCATAGCACTACTTTCGCTCAGGGTCTGGTGAGGAAGGCTGACCATCACGCTGACCTGGTGTTGTTTGACGTTCTGAGGGATCCATTCAATAACCGCCCTAGTCCAACGGTCATCACGATATCACGTACTTGATCGGCCCACCTGATTTGTTGTCGTAAGCAACGGCGCCCCTGATCTTCGTTCGATGACGGGGCTAGGGACCTCATATTCTCCTCTGCACTTGAATGTATCGGGGTATCTCAAGCATTGTCCTTTCTATGACGCCTTGAATACAATGACTGCATGCTCATCCTGCTTTCGTTGAATCCAATTCTCCGAGACGTACGTCAAAGCAGGAAGGACAGCAGTGTCGAAAATGTGAGCGCGGAACCGGATGTTCTTTGTCTTCTTCACTACTCCCTCGATATACTTAATGCTTCCCAAAACCTCCTTTTGCCCAGCTCCGGTACAGGCCATTCATCACATTGAATACTCGACCTACATCAACGTAGCTGTAGCGTTCGGGGATATTCGTTCCGTTAAGCGTAGAAGAGCACCAGCTATCAGTCCGTCTCTAAGAGTATCGTGTTCGTTAAAATCAGTTTTAAGCCCATCTTCCCACAGGCGTTATTGAATTCGGCTAGATTTCGTTTTGCCTGTTCAGTGGATGGTGTTTAAGTCCGAAGTCATCTACAATGCGAAAATAGAACGGCAATGAAAGGTTTGAGCGAAACAGTATCGCCTTGCCGAACCCACCCGTTCACGTTAACAATGATTTTCTTGTAGAATGGCGAGATCTCCTAGTAACCGAACAATGCGAAGTTCACTTCTGCTTCCTTTACAACAAACGAGCAAAGCAAAGTTTGACGGAGTGTATACTTACCACTGGTCGCATTCGGATAAAGTTTTTCGGACAATCTGATCAACAGGTACACCCATATCCTCAAGTGCATATTCAACATGTCTCTGATCGATCTGATTTTGATTTACATCCTCNAACATTTGCAATTGTTCTTACAAACATACACACGAAATTCAATTTTTTTGCACTATTTGGAGCACTCTATTAAAGGCGCAGGTCACGATAATTTCGGGATATCTAGTTTCAGGCTAGTAATGGAAGTGATAATCCAGAAAATTGCAAGGGTGGCGGAGAAACTGCGAAAGCCGCCGCATTTATAGAGACACAGGGTTTCCTAGAAGTAGTAAAATTAGGAGTAGGCGAGTGAATACAGCTGGCTGCAATACGCTGCCTGAGTGCAAGGTGTGGATGGTTCAAGCTCAACAGCTTTCACAACTTTTAAGAACTCATGCGCCTTAGGTGTATACGTAGGCTAAGCCGGTTCGGGGCCCTTATCACATATTACCGTGGCCGTTTTTCGACCCGACTTCGTCCCTCAGGCTATGTTTCGGGGTCACAGGTCCAGTCAAGGGAGAAATCTTAACAACCATTTTCAATAAACTGCGCCATTAACACCATGATTTCCATTCTTGGGGATTGAAGGATGGCTGTTTCAAAGAAATGAATCGAAAGTGAGGGTGACACTGTGAGGCCTAGCTGTTTTGCTGGATAAAACTATCGGTCTGAATCACAGTAGAAGTAGAGATATCTTGCAGCAGACCCAACTCCTCCATACCATGCTTTGAACAGGGCTTCTGCGATCATCTTAATCGGCTCATTCTTAGGAATAGCCTTTTCTATGGTCTCCTTGTCATAGCCAAGCTCCGCCATTGTTCGCCTATGCATCTTTGTCACCTAGAATGTGAAAAAAACCTATAATGTAAGGATGTTACTTGCAAAGTATCAAAGCGAGTAATACTTACCCTTTCTGCATGAGCACCCATACTAGATGCAATGTTATTCACCTCGATCTGAAATTGGGAACTGGATGTGTTTATAAGCTACCTCATCCATGAGAAACGTACCTGTCTGAGAAGATATTCACATGAGAAAGGATCTTTGTGACACATATAATCTGACCGCTGGATGACTAGCGTTTTTCTTTGCGAAAGCCCTTAAAGATCTTAAAATCAACATTTCCCAAAAAACAGCGATGTAATCATTCCTTGTTGAATTCACCTTCATCCCTGACCTTCTTGAGAATATCGATTAAGCCTCGTGTGAACGCATCGGTCTTCACGACATCCTTATGAGATTCTATCAAGAACTCGAAGTCATAAGCGATCTCATGGTAGAGCTTGGCCATTAACTGGAATACGGTAATCAAGTGAATCAAGTGTAGTATCACTGAAGTCTAATAGAAAATCGAGTGTAATGGAAGAATAGTTATAAAGAAACTCACATTCTGGACATTAACAGCCTGTTCAAACAGTTTCCGAGGGAAAGGTGTAGGAAGAAGGGCAAAAGGGGCATGCTGACAGATATCGCTACGATCCTTGTGTTCCTTTGTTCTCATAACCAGTCCATGAGCCTAAAATACGTATCAATTCTGAATGAAACACATTCAAAGTAACAAGTATCCGGTAATCGTACAGACTCACCTGTGCCCAGTCAACCGACGACAGCACAAGTTCATCGATGCGATTTTGAGGAAGTGGTAACTTGGGGAAATCCGCCAATAAGACACCGCCGCTTTTCTCAGAGACCATTTAAATCCTGAAAACAAGGGATTTTTTTATAATTGCATTTGAATTGTATTAATGGTGGCCTTTGCTGAGCTTTTTCGCTTATTCATTAGCTTTTGTCTATGGTTCTGTGGTTCAAAGGCGATTTCATTTCAAGAAGAAAAAACGAGGATATCTCCTCTCTTTCCGTATTCAATGAAGATGAATAATAGATGGGCGAGATGGGGGGCAGTGAGAAATATATTTTCGACTTCAGCATTAGGAGGGAAGGAGCACCGGTGAATGATGAGCCAGTTAGGTGTTTAGTTCCTAACATATCCCAGCTTTTGGAGGTAGTCAGCTTATCCACCCCCTGTGCTCCACCAGATTTCTTTGGCTAAGAACCGAACCTAAACATAAGTAAGGTCGTTGCATAAGTAGGGTCACCTACCTCTCTTACTCTACGCTGCAGCATTCAATGGGTGAAGGAAAATGGGAGAATATCTAACTGGGCCCCTTGTTTTCGCTCATTCATCTTGGCTTTCTCACAGAGACAGTATCCCTCTGAGCATTTCCACGGGCGTGGGTGATGGGGTACTAAAGAGTTACTGTATTACACGTTCACGGGACGTCAAAATCCCTCAAATAGAGAAAAAGTCTTATCCTATAATCAGATTCGTTTCTTCGGTGTCTTTATGTATACCAAACATAGCTATCAAAGATGAGTACGTCATTAAGTCTACACCCTCATCTTACAGAGAAAAAAAGATTCTTTTCCACCAGAACCTATCAAAATTTGCGACAAGGGTCAGAACAAAAAAAAGGAGAGGCGAAGCAGGTCAGAATAGACATTCAGAAGGTGACATCAAATTGTGAAGGCCGCGCCAAAATTCGGATTTTATTCCAAAAAAAAGAAGACATATGTCGCTACAATAAAGTTAACACAATGCTTGATCAATCCAGCAGCAATTCCAGCCGCAGAATAATCACAGGAGCAGCGTGTCGCGTGCTGTGGACGCGCCGCCTGTTCACTTAGCATAAATTCTGTGGATCTTTAACATATTGCGCCGCATTATACGATTCGATTGGATTAATGAAGCATTTTAAGCTAAAAGACCAGGTCAACGATGAAGACCACGCTAAGAACACAAAGGGCGATTATTCCGTGCTCTAAACCAGAAAGCGCGCGCCAGGCGCGAAAAAGCTTTTCAAAATTTTATTCCTAACGGCTTCTGCGTGTACCTTAGTTCAAAGGGTATTTATGCCCTTTTCAAGCTGTTCATTGTTTGTGAAAGCCATTGATTTATCGATTTCAATTTAGCTACGTTTACTTTCAGCTGTATAACTTTGAATTGGATGCGGAAACTGTTTTTATGGAGGAAGAAGGAACAAGTGCAATTTCGCTGCGATGCGTCGCTAGTGAAGGTTCCTCTAACCTCGTTGCCGCTTTGGGCAATAGAGAAGTGAGTTTTGACTCAATGTTTTGTTAACTGCTTCTTTCGCCTCATTACGTGATACGAAAGCCTCACAAGGTTGGCGAGTTATTGGGCAAAACTTGGGTTTCGGACGGAATTCGAACTCGTAGTTGTGTTGTCCATGCTGCTGTGCTGCTGTGCCGTGCTCGTATCTCTTACGTTGCTTAGCCGAGACACATAGTTGTACCCCTCCCCATCACGTCCCGCGAACACAGTTCATCCAAGACTATGCAGAGATGTCCTTCAAAGGTTCATCGCTTGTTTGAGGGATGCGCCCGCATTCGACTTCAATGCAGAATCGTTGCTGCATATTGTATCCTTATATGGCCCATATGATGACTTGCGGTGACAGGTCTATGTACAAGTCAGTGATGTTATCCTTCCAGACAAGTTTGGTACCAATTTGAAAGGCCTGAAGGGATGATGAGCTTGGTTGGCTCGGGTTGTACCTACCGCGAATTCGAACGCTGAACTTTTGTGTGGAAGTGAGCTACTTGACGCTTGACGACCACTTCCGCTCATAATAGCAGTCAGCAAATAAGTGATCAGTCCAAGGCAAATTATAACGCGACAACTTATAGCTCAACAGTTACGGTGATGTTCGCTGATCGGCTCTTAATATCGTACCCGTGAGTGCTGGTGAGCTATTGCTTGAGAGTCATTGAGAAGGCAAGGCTAGCGGGATCTCGCTGTGAAGAGCGTGGTGCTTTTAAGCACAAGTAGGCCGAGTCCCATCCATGGTCAAATTTTTGCTCACATTCCGCCAATCTTATGAGACTTCCGGCTTTTACTCTTTTCTCGCTGCGTTGAAGGTGGAGCAAAAGCCTTTCTCCCTATACGGGATCATCTTGCAAGTATGGAAGGCAGATTCGACGGCACTAGTCCTTCACATATAACGTTGCGACCCGGCATCCTTCCCTTGCCAAACCATTGCAGTTGCTCTGCTTCTTACCTATCTATCATGAACGTTCCTTTCGCTATGGGCGGGATGTTAGATCCAAAAACCGATGTTCGTGGGAGTAGATGTGACGAGTGGTTTCAGATTGCGGCTTGTAGCAAAGCGTTGCTGCAATCCTGAACCAAACCTTTAACGAGGAACTTGCATCCATCTATAT